GTTGTATGTTTTTCATGTCAAAATATAGTCAACGATAGGCATGCATAATCGCAATAAAGCTCAATCGTGCTTTATCAATTTTATTAGTGTTGATGGCCGCTACATCTTAAAAAAATGTCAAATTCAAAACATTTGCTCGGGTTATATGAAAATACGTGAAAATTTTGTTTGAAAATCACTGCGTTAATTACAACCGCAACTTTCTGCAAAACTGATCATCTGATCTTCCTTACAAAGTGAGAAGTTCAATAAAATTTGGTATCTCATGATTTTGCATTCATAGTCCTTCCACTGATTATTATCTTTTATTCTCCTCCGCGTATCGTTTTTAAAGAGAGACCATTATTGTCTTTCTGTCTCCAAATTTACTTCCAAGAAAGCCGACTTCAACGTACTGTCCAAATGCCAATTAACTCAGTTGATCACGTTTTCAAGCATGCTATAAAACGTACTCAATGTTAGAGATTTTTCTTATAGAAGTGTAGGGAGATTGTTATTCAATGCAGTTTGTGGTATTTTTCACCTTATTCTTATTTAAATATATCAGCAGGTCAATGCGAGCTTCTGTGAAGGAGGGGTGAGGGTTTGATAAACAGTAGTGGCAGGAAAAAGTCAAACGCAGTGTTAAGAAGGTCGCTCTAAAGTAAAACGCATGCGTATGCCTTCTATGCTTTATTCAAAGCAGGCTACAAAACGTTGTCTAAAAAGCTAGTTTTCTTGTAACACATACTTATACATCGAACGATCACTAGAAACACCCAAATCGTTTTCATTGCATTCTAGCTGGTTAGCGCCTTTGTAATATTTGTTTACGAGCAATTCAGATTGATAAGATGTGATACCCGCAGATGATACCCAAACCCAAAGGAAGTCCCATTTTATTAGTTTCCTCCAAACTTACTGGCACGCTCCATATGAAGCGATGGGAAAGCAGCCGGAAGACGTCATCGAGTTTCCGGACAGGTTACAATTTTGTATGTACACGTCCTCAAAGAAAATTTGAATTCAGCACAGTTAATGTGAAATTGGCGTTCTCCGAAAAAGACATAAAACTTCTTGACGACGAAAGTACCGAGACCACTGATACGTTAGTACAAATGCAAAACTACAGAACCACACGTCAGATAGCTGGTTGAATTGAACGCTGTTTGCAGGTCACGAGTTTCAGAATCTTCTGGATCAAACATAAAGTTTGCTGCCTCGTTAGCCGTTCTTTCATCCGCAGGAATTACAATGTTTGTAAAAATGGTTATAAGCTTTCTTATATGCAGACGAATTGTACAATTTAGCATCGTTCTACATTCTCTAGCAAGTCTGAGCACCACACTTTCTGGAATTGCTTCTCTTATTATTGCCATAATTGCTTACGAATGGCAAAGAATGTACGCCTGCAGCCTTTCAAGAATTCCGCGAGCAAGCTTGAATTACAGTGACTTGATAGATAAGAACAAGTGCGTTTACTAGGATAATTTGTCATAGTAAGGTCGATGGAGACAATTTAGAGACTACATTCCATTTTACACGATGGGTTGGCTTCTGGGTGAGAGATATAAGCCGTATGTGATGGGATGCACTCCTGAAGAGCCTGATGACAGAACGCCAAATGAGTTAGAGGCATTCAGGTCATTCTCATGCCCGCATTCTCACTCAATTTTTTAGGCCAGAAGCAATATCTCCTGATAGAGAGCTACCGAAGGATCCCAAGTTTTTGCGCTGAATTAAGGATAATTTGAACATTTATGGCTTGAACTCAAAAAGAAAACTGTTGTTCTGTAAATGCTAATACATTTTGTTGTATGATAAGCTTGGCGATGCCATGCAGTGACCGAAGATACAAGAATTGAAAAATAGTGTAAATAAATTTCTAATTTAAAA